GAGTTTTGTTCAGGCCAAGATGTGTGTCATTAATTGTAGTGGAAGGCACTGAGGAAATCAATAAGGCTCATACTGAAGATACTGTCTGTTGCTCCCTCTGCTGTATTTATGGTATAGGGAAGGTGACTGGAGGCAAAATGGATGCTGTCACAGCTGAGAGGGGAGGGTAAACTAAGAGTATTTCATGCTCCCAGTCTGGGAGAGTGTCTGTTAGAGTGATGAAGTGGGTAGCATGGAAATTAATTGCACTGGACATACCATTTCATGTGCAATGTTATTTGGAGAGTTTAGGGGTTAAAAACTTCAGCAACATAGTATTCTTGATACCAGTTAGTCCTACTTCTCAGCAGAGCTAATTAAGCAGCTTTGTGTTGCTATACAACATGACTGTACTAATTCTGGTTCTGGCACAAACTTGGGGCTCTCGAATATCTGCACCATACTTAATTACAAAATAGGGGCACAGATGTGACTCAGTACTTCAGTCTCAATTGACTTTTATTAGTAAGAAGCAGTACTTAGAAACTTTATTAAAAGGTGAGTTAAAATGGCAATAATTCTTGGTGGAAAGAATGAAGGCTACTAATTTTGAAAACTATAGGGGTTTTTGCAATAACCTTCATTAAGATTATTCTACTGTTTATCCAAGGCTTCTACTTTTTACAAGCCACCAGCTAGAATCTTTGTCTCCTAGTACCACAAGATGTATGTAGAACATTTTTCTTCAAAATGAATATGTATGCTCTCAGAGATGCATGGTAGCAACTTATGGAAGATTTCAGTCCTTAAGCAGAGAATTTGTTTAGCAGAGAAATTAGTATCTTGGCATCCCTGTCAATTAAATCCTGTCACATCCTGGTAGGAAATGTTTCACTTAGTAATAAGGACTAGGCTTTTTCCTTCCTTTACTTGTAGAATCTTATTCATAAAATACTGTTTTCTTGGACAACGGTATTTTTCAATACTGGAAATGGCAGTTAAATGCAAAATATTTGACTAAGAGATATTATAAATATCACCTTTATCACCTTCATAATTATTTTAGTATTTAAATAACAAATAACCAAGTAATTATGATTTTATTTTTTAGATATTTGTTCACTTTAACATGTCGTCCATTTTTAGTTTGAATAAAAGCAGAACATTCAAAGAAGTCATAAGCAGTTAGAAGACTTTTGATTAAGAAAGTGATCTATTTTAATACAGAATCATATATACTAATGATGGTTCTTTCCCACTTCATGTTTCCTCTAAAATTTTTCATAATTTCAGTTTCAAGGTAAGGAAGTAATGGAATTATTCTGCATTCTTAAGAGGAAAATCTGACTTGATGTACACTCCTGAGATGGTTCTCTTGAGTCTGCTGAATGTCCTGTAGTAGAATAGAGAGCTTGGTGTCTGGCAATACCTTTTAACTTTTCCATGGTTTTATATAAGTAGTTTTCACAACCTTCCTCCTTCCTTTGTCTACTTCTGTTTATTTTTCTGCATGTAAAAGGTGTTCTAACAAATACATATAGAAGTACTTCTCTGAGTTTTATTTACATGAGCATTAAGGATGAAATACCTATTTTCCTTTCCATTTGTCATCCTAACCTCTGTATATTGTACTGAATTAGTGACTCGAGTAGAGAATAACATTTGCTTGCCATGACCATCTTTAGGCATGGTCACTAAAAGCACTAGCAGAGAACTCAGTTTCCCACTCAACCGGTAACTCGGGTCTCCCATTTTCTGCTTCTTGTAATGGCAGTATCATGGAAATTGTTTATGATATGAATATCCTTTTCTGGTTCTGTTTTATCCTCTAGGGTATGATACAATCCAATATGGAACCATAGACATAACCTGTGCTTTTCAGGCACAGATTTATTTATTTCTTCATTTTTCTTTGCCAAAGAAATTGATTTTTAATGACCAGTTATTACTGCCCTGTGTCTTGAAATTTGCAATTACTGGAGTCACTTCAATCAGAACTGACATCAGTGTAGAAATAATAAAGCCTATCACTAGCAAGGTGAAAACGTGAAAACTGTGACAACTTGCTTTATATGTTCTACTCATTCTCTACTCTACGTAGAGAAAACTCTACGTGGTTTTCGTATCAGTTTTATGGAGTTTGCGTTTACAGAGGCACCAGTGTAGTAATTTCTAAATAGCTAATTTTTTCCAATTTACTGTGTCACATATTATACTTGATTAGAATTATACATAAAAGTGCCACCTGGCAATGACTGTAAAACAGCTGGATCTAAGAATAACAGTGGCACTGTGAACAGGAAGATTTATACAACTGTGCACACGGACATGTAGGTTCATCCTGAGCCTTGAGCTTGTTTTCAACTGTTGCCTTCTTAATCTGACAGTTTTATTTCTTTTTATATGTGGA